GGGGACAGGAGGAGTGGAGGGAAAGGAGGCTGCAGGTGGGATGCATTGTATTAAAGAAGAATAAATAAAAAGAAAAAAGAATAAAAAATAAATGTAAGCTTTTAAAACAGTACATAGTAAGTATCATTTAAAGATATTTTCTATGTTATCCCTGAACATTAGAGCCCCACCTCTCTGGGAGTGGGGCTTAGTACAGTTGATAATTGTTTTGTTTGGTGGTTTTCTGAACATCTTCTATAAAGTTTGCTCTCTATGCTTTGTGTAGTGATGCCTTCTGTTTTGTTAGCTTAGTGCCCAGGTATTGCTTCAGCCTTTGTGGGGTCACCACATGTATGCAAGTGTGTCAGTGTACACACTCAGTATCTATTTGGGCAGCTAACCTTGTCCTTCACTGCCAGTTTGAGGAGAGTCTCAAAATCAGCTTGAACCAGTTTAGGGCCTCTGTAGGTCCTTCCTGATCTTGAACACAGCCCTGGGTTCACACAGCGCCATAGCCTGTCATGAATGTAGCCTGCTGTATGTTGGCCATGCACTTGTCCATCAACCGAATCACGTGAAGCTTCTTGATTGCCTCCTAGTTTTTCAATAAATGCCTTTGGAGGAAAGCTTTTATACTGATCTTATTTTAGCAGAATTACTTTGGAATTCCACTTGGCATTACTTACTAAGATTTATTATGTGGTTAGCCTAGAAACTAGACATTCTTGTAATGCATAGTAAAAAAAAAAGGCAGCATGTTGAAGTATTGTTCAAAGAGCAAATGCTGGCAATAACAAAAACACCTAACAGAAGAATGAACTATTTTTGATGTACAAAGGAATACTTTATTACTCCAATGAAGATGCACACATCTTCCTGGCATGATTTTAAGTTGAAGAACACTAGAGGAGAAAACATCAATACTATTCTATGTTTTTTTAAGGACTAAAATGTTCAAAACTATCAAAATAAATAAGTAGGTAATTTCTGAAAGAGAAGTAGATTGCTATGCCTGGTTCAAAAAGCTAGGAATGAGGTGGTTGTGAGCGCACATTTGTTTGGCCAGCACAGTCTCGAGTCTGATGAATGTATGGATCGTGGATAGCTTGCTATTCTCCTGCCTTTTGAATTTGGAAGTACTTCTTTTGTCTTTCAAAAAAGGATTTCTTTATTTTTAATTTATGCTTATTAATGTTTTACCTGTGTATTTGCATGTGCATCATATGCATGTCTGATGTCCTCCGGGGTACAAAGAGGACCTCAGATCTCCTGGGACTAAAGTAACAGGTGCTTAAGATGCTACTTAAGATGGAGCTGGGAACCGAATCCAGCTTTCTTAAAGAGCAGTTGTTGGTCTTAATGATCGAGCCATTTCTCTAGCCCCATCTTTTCTTTTCACACACATCAAATAATTCTAGCCATAAAATGAGGATCCAGGTCAGCTACGTGTGCTACAGCACAGCTCCAATGTGACAGCTGGAAGAAAATAGAGGGTCGTGAAGTTTATAAACATTATTAGCTGAATACAGGATCTTAAAGGGTTGGTTAAATTCTTTAAGGCAGTATCCTAGCAGGGGAATTTACTTCAAGGGTGCTCAGTGAGCATGGGGGGTGCATGCCAAGCAAACCAACTCTACTAGTTACTCAAAGAAGGGTTGTCATAGCAACATCACATTGCAAAATATGCGCTCAAACATCAGAGACATCATCTGCCACGCAACCAGATAGTTTGACTTTTTGTTGTCATTTCTGAATAAATTGTGCAGGCAGCTCAAAGTGTCATCAAAGTAGATTGCTACAGGAATTCTTAAGAGATTCTTACTGTGTATTTATTTAATGAGCTGAACAAGTATTACAATTTAGAGATATTTCTATATTCCATATGTACTTTTTATAACGCCCTACAGAATTTCATTTTGAGATAATTACTCTTCTGGTATACCAAAAATTCCAACATTTTCAGAGTGTCTGTCCCTTGGTACCAGAAACCTATGTGAGGAATTATGCGTATGTGTTGTTAAAAACCCAGAAAGCTTGAAATGTCTCATAATTTCCATTCCACTCTGATGATTATTTCCATTCTGTACTAAAAATATACCAATTTACAGCGATAGTTTGCTACACGTGTTCTATTTAAATGTCACTTTGAAGCCTTTCTTCTCTGCTGGATTCATTCTTGTAATTCTTCTGCTTTATTAGTTTCTCCAGTGCAATCCAGGCAAAAAGGGAGGAAGACAGGACAGGCAAGGTCAGATGCAGCTCCTGGGTGGACCCAGGTTATCTTACTTGGTTGTTTCTCTTCTATAGTGTGTTTGAATCAGTTTTCCATCCTTTGTGATCCCCATGATCTCCCTCCAGCTCATCTCTTAGTTCCTAACATATCCATCCCCACTATTCTTCAAGAAAGCTCTTAATTCTTTTAGATATTTTCCAAGATAAAGTAACACTCTCTTAAAAGATGTAATATTATGCTACACCAGTGGTATTTTATTAAAGTTTAGACTTTCTAGGAAAATGGGAAAATTGTGTGAGAACTGAACATAGACAGAAAATTACAAAAAGTGGGGGTTTTTAATTGTTTGTTTCTTTTGGTATTTATTACCAAGGTATTGTTTACCAGGGTCCTAAATTTCCTGACCCCATTTCCTTCTTGGGTCAGAATGTAGTGGACCCAGAAGTCATGGGCAGCAATGCCCTGAGCCAGCAGGTCCTCCAGGCTGGAAAATGGTGTTGAGAGCAGTGAAATGGAACGACCATCTGGTTGACCAGGGGTTCACAAAGGTGGCTCTAGCTTAGTTTTTGGAATTCTCACTGTGGCTACAAATCATTTTTGGTTTCTATGTTTCCAATGTAATTTCCCTGTCCCCAAATCAGTAACTGCCAGGGGTTCACTTGTGATGTCAACATGGAATCAGTTTATTATGGTACTGTCTTGGATTTTCTTTCTTGACCCTCAGAAAGAAGAGTTAACTTCAAAATCTGAAACGTTCGCCAAAGCCAGATGAACTTAGGTTTATGATATTTGCTTATTTTGTATGCTGTCAGTCATACTTGAGACTGAACTCTGCTTTTCTTACTTACAACCCTCTCAGGGTCAGTGTCTGTGGTGTGGACAACGTTCAACCTCTTCAGCCCTGCTTGGCGATCGGTCAGGAAAGAAGCCCAGAGAAGCCATACAATGCTGCACAGGGTACTGGGATAGCAGAGCCCTTTCCTCTACCAACCAAGCCTGCTGACTGTTTAGCAAAGTGGAGAAAAACCATCTGCAGGAATTCTTGCTCTTAACATAAATAGCCCGTGTTAGTACAGCTGGTGGCCAGCATGTCCGCAGGACACTGTCCACAGTTTATTTGTAACTGATCATCTGAAATGACTACCTGCTTAAAATGGAATTAAGTTTCTGTTTCATTCTCCTCATTCATAAATTTATGAATTCCGCAGAGCCCGAGTAAGAACAGTCATGATTTTCTTGACCGTCTGCATTCCAGTTAAGTAGGCATCTAGATTATCAATGAAATTGTCTGACACTAAAAGCAATTTTGACATCAAGAGTGGGCATGGCAACAAAGCAACCGTAAACACTGGAATATGTAGCCGTGGTATTAGTGCTTGCCACATGAGTCCTTTTGAAAACAAGATTCTCAAATATTCTTTAGAGATGTCCACTTATCATAATTTATGACGTCATCAAATAAGAGTAATTATCCCGAAGAAATTACAGGGGACAGCGAAGCCTGCCCAGAAAGCGGAATCCCTCTGACCTTTTAATTTATCATTTGCAAAGATAAGGCCTGAAAATTAACATTGCTTTCATTAATGGCCCCATTAGTCTCCGATGAGCAGTTAATGTCCCCAGGCTCAGTTTTGTCAAACACACACAGGCAATTCTTTAAAAACAACAAAACCCTAGAACCTACCACATCCAGCGCTTATTTCTATAAATTCTGACTTCTGGGAAAGATGACACCACAGTTTCCAGGACCACCCTACATTTTCCAATCATCAGATTCAGGCATAATTTGAATAAAATTCCATTTAACCCTAAGAATAGCCATTCTATTTGGACTTTATCTTAGATTCACAAAACTCCCAGTGCATATATTGCTAGTCGGGGTAATTTCCCTCAAGCCTCACAACTGCTAAAAATACCAGACCAATCACCGTCCCAGATCACGTTATGAAGTGTGTGAACCAGTGCATTAAAAACTGTGTTAGCACCAACCAGGTTTATTGGGGTAGCTACATTCAAGACACACATGGCATACCTTTAAAGAGCACTGTTAAAATAGCAAATAAAATGTCAATGTCTGTCAGGTCTCTGGTTTTTATAAATTGTTTAGACTGGAGACATTGGGGTTTGGACATTGTTCTTTTCATATGATGTAAAAAGAAGAGACCATGGAAAGAGAAGAACAATAAAGCAGAGCTCATGTTTGAAGTTCTTTCATGGAAAAACATACTTCGGTTCATTACCCATCCAATCAACAATTTCCTCCCAATCCTTCCGTCTGTGTTGACTTTCTCCCCCTCCTCTCTCTGGGTGGTATTCTGAACTTACACACACTACTCAGGAACTCTAGTTCCTAAGTCACTTCAAAAGAGAACGCTGGGAGAGCATCACAGATCTCTCTCTCTCTCTCTCTCTCTCTCTCACACACACACACACACACATACACACATACACACAGCACACAAACACCACACACTCACACACACACACGCTCCACATCGTATTTTTAATATGGACCACAATTTTGCTCACCATGACTATGGTCTTACAAGTACACTATTGTGCTCTGACTACAGAACATTCCAGAGAGGAGTAAGACTCTTAAAGCAGGATAGCAACCACCTCCTTACAGAGGAGTTCTGCTCACACCTTAGTGACCATCTCCTCGCCCTCCTCCCTCCATCTCTTCCCTTTATTAACACACTACACCCTCCACATCCCCCAAAACAACAACATCTCTGTTTCAGTGTCTTCTCTGGATTTCCCACACTTAATGCAACCCAGACCTCACCTTCAGCTCTCCTGAGGCCACTTTGGAAGCCAGCTCAATGACACAGCCAACAGCCATGCGTGCAGCACCGGACGAGTGCAGCTCGTTCCAAATGGTGTCACTGTCCACCTGAGCAAACAGTCAGCAGGGGCCAAAGAAGGAGAGAAAAGGAAAAGAGAAGAGAAGGGTGAGAAGAGGGTGCGGTGGGAGGAAGGGACAAGAAAGCAAATCTGTGAGGAAGGGCTGGCAGACTAACAGCTAAGTGCAATAACATTAGTCTGCAGTCCTGGCCCGCTGAAAAGACCTTCTGGACACAGCTTTGCATATACTTTTTCTCTGCGCTGACTTCTCCAATGGAAACACATTCTTGCCATGCCTCACTGCCATTCCCTGTTTAGATTTCTCATTACAAACAGCATTACATAGGCCGGATCTGGCTTAGGTACAGGCCTGCTAGAAACCAGGCCCCAGCAGTAGGTAGAGCGAAAACCAAGAGCACTTAGCTAGACATAAAAATCGGATTTGCAAGTGCTGGAGAGAGAAAACGCCATTCTGACTGCAGGTTTGTCGGGAGCCAAAGACAAGGTTCAGGCAGGTAGCAGTAGCAGGCCGTGAAGAGGAAGGAGCAACCGCGGCTCAGCCCCAGGATGGAAGGGACTCCTGGACCTCCCACGTAGAGGGATTGATTTACAAAGAGGCTTCCTTCTTCTTGGACAGGTACGGTTCTGAGGCTGGTTTCAGTGCACACTGCTTCTGAGCTAGAGCACCATTTGTGCACTAGTGTACTAGCGGGCCTTTTGAAAATGCCACTGGTTCTTTTCCACGCACACACTAAGAATGCATACATTAAGAATATTAAACATACAGTAGTAGTGGTTTTAATTATAACGTGTGTCCCACATCGTACGTATCAGGTATTTCAAATATTGAAATGTCAGTATCAAATGACGGGCAGCTCTGATACCAGATTTCAGAGTGTGTAAACCATGTGAAGTGTTAATAAATGAGATTAAATGTTTGTGGATGCAAATATCAAGCCTCTTCAAATGGGCCAGAGAGGGTTTCCTGCTCAAAACAAGATTTGGTTTTAAAAAGTTGAGAATAAATCTAAGGCCAAGTAACATGGGAAAATGAAATCGATAAAAACAAGGCATACTTGCAAAGCCCTAACTGGTTTTGTGAGTCATGACACATGTCTATTCATTTCTCATGCATTCATGATTAACTCTAATCATGGCAAGCTGTCAACAATAGAACCAATAACACAATCACACTGATGTCTAGGAGTCCTGGGCATACAGGTGCTCGATGGATGCTTGAGTTCTGACCCTTATCCAAACAACTGTGACCCCAAGTTGTCAACAAAAAATAAAAAAGCATGAGAGCTATATAACCATGCAGACAAACACAAATAGGCACACAGAAAACAAATCTAAACAGAGTGGCTGTGAGGAGAGAAGTTTTTCAAGCCCGTCTGCTAGGAAAGACCTTGTAGCTTTGTTATTAAACCTGGGCTACCCTGAGCCAATGATTAAATTCTCTGTGCCCTGATTTGCTTATCCATGAAACCATCTTGAGTATCATCAGAGGTTAACAGCACGAACTATTCTTCCAGAGGCTCTGATCTAGGTTCAGTAACCACATGGCACATCTCCATGCAAACAAAAAAATAATATAGAATACCATGTGTATATGGTTGCTCCGAGGCTGAATAAGGAGGTGAGAAGCAAAGCCCTGGCAAACGCTTCATGAACCGCTGTTGATTGGCGCCATATAGCATAGAATCAGCTTTTTACATCACTAAACACCTGCTGTGACTATAGTAGCGTCTAAATGCATGGGAGCTTGACCTGAGAAGTTAAAGGCTTATCGCTGGCTGAATCCACAGTAGCCAGACTGGATTGAATAACCACGTAGATTCTAAGCACCTTGACTGGTCAATTTGGAACAATCAGGCATAACTCATTTCTATAAATTCTTAAAGCGGTTAGAAATTTCCTTCCAAAAATGTTAAATACCCCCATCGGGTTAGAAGTATTAGCTGTTGCTGGGCAGTGGTGGCAGCACTTGGGAGGCAGAGGCAGGCAATCTCTGTGAGTTCAAAGCCAGTCTGGTCAACAGAGTGTGTTTCAGGACAGGCAGAGATACATAGAGAAACCCTGTCTGAAAGAAAAAAATGGGGGGGGGGGGGTAAAAGAAATATTATCTGTTATTTCAACTAAGGACAAGGTTGGATTAACTACAAGACTAAAAGGCTTTAGTTACCACAGATACATTTGGGTGACATCCACCTGCCTGTTCACACACCTTCTGATTTCTGGAAGTATTTTGTATTGATAAAAAGTCTGTGCCTGTACAATTAGTAGTAGTGCATAAAACAGTAGTGGTGACAGTGTGATTTTGATGTGGCTAACATCTGTCTAATATCCAGTATGAGTTGTTATTTGGGTTTTTTTTGTAATAAAGATATAGTTATTGTTCTCAAAGCCTGGTCAATGGATTCTTGAGATTTTATGGCTTATATCCAAAGTTTTGCTTATCTCCAAACACATCCTCCCTTAGGAATCCATGGGATTTCTCACGTGTTCATTTATTCATATGTAACTATGCAGGATGCTTATGTAAGAACTGCTCGAATATCTGTGCTATGTACAGTTTATAATTAGGTGGTAAGAATGAGCAAGGTTTGCAGAGATCATCCGATCACTGGAGCCTAGATTTATGAGTAGGTTTCTTTCCCTCGGTGACTCAGCTGTGACAACAAGTCACAGACAGGGTAATTTGCACAGCACAAGTGCATTGGACACAGTTACCTTTGGCCTGCAGACGACTTTCTGTTCTCACACAGCTTTCCCTTGTTCTCAGGGTCTAATGCTTAGAAGGCCACTTGTCCTATTAGACGAGGAGCCCATTTTTCTCTTTTCATTTACTATTAATTATTTTCTAAATGCTTATTAATCACTATCATGGGTTTTGGATTCACTGTAATAGTTTTGGAAGAGTTTTAGGGATATCAAGGCTCTATCCCCAAAGTTTGTTCACCAGTCCATTTACAAACACACTCCCAAGATACTATGGTTCCAAATGGCATTTCAGGATCAACTTAGCTATGAAACACACCTCACCTGTATTTCCACATCTTACAAGACCTCCCGCAGAATAGTTAAGATACTCTGATGGCCGTATTAGCCAGTTAGCAAGATCTGGAAGGGACTGTTAGCACACGCCAGACAGATCCAGGAGCTTAGCAAAGTGGTTCAAGGGAAAAGACTCTGCACTCACGTTTGACGCTTTTACATTGAGTAGACGTAGAGTGAGGTCAACTGCTTAAACCTCTCACGTGTGATCTTATTATTATCAGTGTTAATTTTGCACCATTGTGTCATATCATGCTCAGCAAGGGTTCTACCTCTAAGCTACATCCTCAAATTTTATCTCATTTTCAAGGACAAAAAATGACTTGGCTAGATCCCAGGGGAAAATATTTATCCCGAGTTCTGAACAAAGTCTCTGAAGGCTATTTTTCTATTACTGATTTTATCGAGCTATACATTTTTCTCTGCTTCCTTCCCTTCCTCTCTGCTCCCCTTCAACTCTCTCCCATGGTCCCCATGCTCCCAATTTACTTAGGGATCTTGTCTTTTTCTACTCCCCATGTAGATAAGATCCATGTATGTCTCTCTTAGGGTCCTCAATGTTGTCTAGGCTTTCTGGGATTGTGATTTATAGGCTGGTTTTCTTTGCTTTATGTTTAAAAACCACTTATGAGTGAGTACATGTGTTAATTGTCTTTCTGAGTTTGGGTTACCTCACTCAAAATGATGCTTTTCTAGATCCATCCATTTGCCTGCAAATTTTAAGACGTCATTATTTTTTCTCCTATGTAGTACTCCATTGTGTAAATGTACCACGTGTTCTTTTTTTTTTTACTTTATTTTTTTTAAATATAATTTTTACCATGTGTTCTTTAACCATTCTTTGGTCAAGGGGCATTTAGGTTGTTTCCAGGTTCTGGCTATGACAAACAATGCGGTTATGAACATAGTTGAGCACATGTCCTTGTGCCAAATCATTCAAGTGTCCTTCCCACTTTCTCTTCTATGAGGTTCAGTGTGACTGGCTTCATGTTGAGATCTTTGATCCATTTGGACTTGAGTTTTCCATATCTAAAGACTATTCTATATACAGAAACAAGGGGGTATAATTGTATAGTATGCCTAAAAGGACAATACCCAAATTACCATCCTCCCAATTCATCTGTAGCATTTACCAACTTATTTTTATGTCATTTTAATTAACAGTGTGCTTTCAACCTCTGACATATTTTCTTGAGTCAGCTCACTCTGTAGACCAGGCTGAGATCCATCTGCCTGCCTCTGCCTTCCACATACTGGGATTAAAGGTGTGCACCACCATCACCCAGCAGCTCAGCCTTTGTCACGTGGCTTTCGACAGGGTCATTTATCACAGAGATAGGAAAAACACAGATTGCTGAGAAAGGCCAGTACTTTGCTTTTGGGTGAGGAGCCTTTGACCTTGCCGCAGGAGGAAGGCCTAGGAGGCAGAGACACAATGAAAATATCCACCCTGGAGAGGAGAGATGTCTGCTTAGTGAGGCAGAAAGGAAGATGTTTGTAAGGCAAACTATGGCTGAGCAGGCCACAAGAATGTCCCTTGTGTTAGAGTGAAAGAAAGGCCTAAGAAAAACCTAAAACGGGCAAAATAGTTACTGTTTCTAAAAAGCCAGGATGAAGGAGATAGTGCGGTCATCAGTCCTCTTCTGAGCAACACGTCTCAGAGTACCAGGCATGCACATGGTACATAAACATGTATGAAGGCAAAATATCCATAAAGTACCCATGTATGTTATACATTATATATTATGAATATAAAAAAATGAGCCACTATGCCTCTAAATATAATGCGTACATTCATGCAGGCATGCATACATAATGCTATGTTCATGCGTGCACACCTAAACACGAAACCCAAACACTCACTAATGCTATTGCCATCTGGAAGAATCACACGTCCCGATCTTTGTCTGACAGTTAAGGGGATGTAGGATTGAAGGCTGTGGGACGACAGTAAACGTCCCCAAGGAGCCTGGAGAGGTGACACACACCTCA